ACACAGATGGACAAACAGGCCAGGGACATATCCAGGAGAGAGCTGGACCACAGATCAGAGACTCCTGGCCATTGTGTCCCAAATTACTTTCTCTCCTTCATACTCTCTGCCTTTCCTCTGGTAAAGACAGAGGCTCAGCAAAGAAGGCTGTGGCTAGAGCTTAACACTTGGACCCCCTCCCCTGACAAGAATGTGGCATTTCACTAGGATGGGTCAGAGCAGAAGCAATCCCTGAGTTCCTCTCTTCTAAGAAAGGTTTTGCTGTCCTCATTTCCCTCCAATCCAGCACACCAGGACTCCCCTTTCCCGGAGCCCCCCAGCCTCCCACTCAGCCCAGCTCTACCTCTTCTGTACAACTCCCCACACCTGAGGAGGGAGGGAGGGGTGTGACTCAGTGGGTAAAGGCAGCTGTTATATTTGAATGATTACATAAGTCAGGAGGAAGGCAGCTGCAACGTGATTGCACTGAGGCCAGGAGTCAAGTCTGGGTTGTAAGGCAGGGGTCTCCTCCTGGACTCTGCGCACTCCAGTCTACAGCAGAGACAACTCTTTATAGGACCAGAAACCAATCATTGTGGGGCTGCAAAGTCTTCCCTACGTCTAGGCACTTAAGGAAGGGTCTACTCCACCCTGCCCCCCAAAACTAACTCTCAGGTTTCTAGACACCCTAAGGCCAGAGCCTGATGAAGCTGCAGAACCTGCCAGGGACCCCTCTCCAGCGAGGAAGACACAAATGAGAAAAGAGGACCTGCCAGGACGGGTACCTCGTCCCAAGCCTGGTCTGTCCTTGCTCGGCAACTTCTCGGCCACCCTGGGTCTCCCAAGGGTGAAGTGAGAGAACACATGAAGCTTTGGCACAGCAGGTATTCCGTACTCTTACTGGCAAGGCGAAGGGCTGGTTGGGGGGTTTCACAGGGAGCCCAAACTCATACTGAACTGACTTCTCTGCCCTGAGTAAACTGAGATAGGTGGCCGACCACAAACCGAAGAGTGAGGATAGGAGGCGCTGTGGGACCCTGGGCGTGCCCCTGAGCAGTGTTGGTGTTTGCAGCATCCTCCCTGCAGTGTCCAGGGAGCATCAGAGCCTTCGTGCCCTGCAGCCTGCAGTGCAGTGAGCCAAGGAGCGGTAGGACTAAAACAGGTTGCAGGCAGATGTGGTGTCCAGCACTGGGCATCAGCACAAGGCCCTCCACCATCAGGCCTATGGGGTTCCTCCTATGCACCCCCCACAACAAACCCCAGAGGAGGAAGGCTGTGCCCACCCAGACTGTGTTGCCATGACGCTCGCTGGTCTCCATGGTGCCAAGCACACAGCCCTCTCCTCATCAAGAGGGGGGCTGAAGGTGACAGGTGCTGAGGAGATGCGGGCTCCTGGCACCCCCTCCTAGTCTATGCCTCTGCCTGGATCCTTGGAGTTCCTCAACTTGAACCTCTGGGAGATAAAGCAGAGAAGAATGACAGTTTCCACTTCAGAGTTAAAAGAGTGACAAAGAGGGGATTTATGCAGAGAAGAGAGACAGGATTGTAGGGGCGTGGCAGAGGGGGGAAGGAGGGTGGGATGGCAAGAGGGAGGGCACATTCAAGTCACCAGGCAGAGTGCCTCCCAGCTGATAAGGGGTGGGAGGTACAGTCCTTAGGCCCAGCTCTTTGGTCTGTGGGTGGTGGTGGGCGGACAGAAGAAAGGAGGAGGAGGTGGGGGAGGAGCAGCAGCAGAAAGGAGAGCAAATTTCCTAGAGAGCTCTTTGTGTGTGGGTGTTCCTCCTCCACGTGCAGTGCAGTGTGTGTGTGTGTGTGCCGCCCTTGAGTTATGGCAGTGCAAGCTGAGGTGTGCAGGCACGTGTGTGCGGAGCATGAGTGTATGCATGTGGCCTGTGTCACTGTGTCTCCAGGGTGATAAATACAGCAGTAGGAGCTGTAACCAGGGTAGAGAAAGTGTGGAAATTTCCACAGGCTGAAAGTAGCATAGACGAGGGGACTGTCAGGGCCAGTGAGCTCTTCATGGGGCCAGCCCCTGGTTGGCTAGCTGGGTACAAATCCTCCCCATGTTTTCATAGAACATGGACATTGGGACGAATAAGCCAAAGGCATTTCCTGACAGGAGAGGCAGGAAGATTCTGACCAGCCGTCTGTGTGTGTGTGTTTGTGTGTGTGTGTGTGTGTGTGTGTGTGTGTGTGTGTGTGTGTGTGTGTTTCAGCGAGAGAGAAACAGCCACACAGTCTCAGTAAGATCTGGGTCATTCAGGTCACTAAGTAGCTAAGTGGTAGAAAGGATGCTGTTTTCTGGTAGGGACAAGGTCCTAAAGGGCCCATTAGATAGGGATGTGGTCATGTCTCCTGGGCAGCCAGTAGACTAAGACCTGACAGCTAGGGTGTGGAGAGGAGGCCCTAGGGTGTCTGGTGCTGAGGGTGTGAGGCCCTGGGGTTGCATGGGTGCTAGGCTCCAGTTACAATAGGTCTTACTGCAGGCTGCATGCCTTTGTCTGTGCTCAAAGCCATTTCCTCTCTTGGATAGGCCTCTCCTTAGCATCCCCTAGCCTCCTGTCTTCTGGACTTGAGCTCTTCATAAATCCTCTTTGATCAGCATCCTCTCTCCTCAAGGGTTTCCTCCTCCCCCACACCACTTACTCATCTGCCCCACGTGTTCAGCAAGGCTCTGCACACAGCAGGTATTCAACAAGTGCTTGGTGAATGAGAACCAAACACACTAAGTATTCAGTAAGTGCTGGCTGAACCTCTCAAGCTCTTCTCCTGGAGTCACTGCAGATAGATCTAGGAGATTAGCAAGGGACACTGCTAGCTCTTTACACTTACCCGCTCATTCAGTGTCCTGGGAGTCTGTCAGGATGCAGCTCAGCTCCAAAGGACAGAGAGAACACAGAAGACCAGAGATCTAAGCAACTGCCAGAGCCACGCGGACTATAAAGGATATCTGCCTACACGCCCATGCTTCCCCAAACAGAACTGCGGGCATGCAGCAATAAGACCAAGGGGGCAGGGAAAAAGTTCCGTGTCCCCTCCAGCCCAGGGTTAGCACAGTGGTGGCAGGGTCCAGCCCTTCCCCCACCTGCTTCACTGCTGCCTGTGTGCCCAGGGCTCTCCGGAGCCAAGGATTACTCAGTCCTCATTGCTGGATATCACGCAGAGCAGGAGGGTTCAGCTGAAGGAGCCAGGAGAGACAAAGGCAGATACCCCAACCCTTTTCTGCTCCATATCCTTCTCTACCCATTCTTCCTCCAACACTCCACCTGCAATGCCTCGGTGCCCAGGCTGTGCCCTACTGCAGCCTTCTCTCTCTGAGTTCCCTCCCAGTTCTCCTCCCCAACATCCAACCCTACCCCCAACCATACTCCTCCAGGAAGTCCTTCCTCTTCCAGGCTCCCTATCCCCTAACTCTAGGCTCCTCCCACCCCAAGCAATCTAAAGTACCAAGTGTATCCCTCCCTTCTGGCATTGGCTCCAGTTTTAGGAATCCTTGAGACAACAGAGCCTTCTGCCCTGGTCCTCCAACACTCTAGTCACAGGTATTTTTCACGAAGGTTGAGTCTCGATCCTGCAGAGATGTAACCTCACGCCAAGGGGTAGCATTCTACAGTCAGACAATGCTGGCTAACCTCCTCTTCCCAGGGAGCACTCACAAGAGAGAACAGTGCTGAGAGCATGAGGAGAGCTGAGGAGACTCTAATGTCAGGCAGGGAAAGCAGAGAGCAGAGGCTTAGGTACACATTCAGTAGGCAATGGGTGAAGGGCTCCTCTCAGGTCCTAGAGCCCAGGAGACCAAAGCTAAGCTCCTCTACTGTGCTATCTTACAACACATCATGCTGGCCAGAGGCAGGGCCGAGTGGTCCAACTGGCAGCAGAACAAAGCCAGATCCAGGAACATTACTGGGGGATGGAGGGAGGGTTAGGGGGTGTTACACAGACCCTGCTCAAAATTAGCAACTATGAGTGGTCCATGACTGCCCCCTAGTGGCCAAATGCAGCTCCCCTCTAGCTAGTCCCTAAACCAGAGTAATGACAGTGGCAGCCCAGCAGAGGGCACCTCTAGTTGCACTCTCTTCCTGGGCCTCCTTCCTGTTGGTGGACAGTAGATCAAATTCAGGGAGGAATTCCAAGCATATCTTGGGCACATAAGCCCTCTAGCCATGTCCTGCCTGGAGGACACAATAATTTGGCTTGGAGCAGTTCCCTGAAGATAGGAAAAAAGTGATGGGGGAACCTTAGGCCACTAGTGTAACAGGTTAGAGTTCAAGGATCCTGTGCTGCCTCCTGGCAAACACTCCTTCCTGAGAAATGAGGCAAAGGACACATGTCCAGGTGTACAAGGCCCCACAGCATCCAGGTGCCCATTGAGGGGTCACAGACAGCACAGGTGGGCCAGCCTTGTCCAGCTCTGCTCAGCCCCTTTCGAGCTAGGAACAGGACGCCAGCAAGTCTGCTCACTAGGCCTTTGAGATAAGGTGGTAACGAGGCTCCAGAGGAGGCAGAAGTCTCCAGTCTGTCTGAATAACTGGTGACCTCTACAGGTCAGTACCTCCCTCTGAAGGCGATGCCCTGTGATGTGAGAGGCAGGCTCCACTCTGGAGCCATGTGCATGGTGCCCAGGGTGAAGGCCCCCTTCACAGTCCACCAAAGCTTTTGGTATGCATTGTGGCCTTGTGTCTCCAGTAGGGGCTGTCAGTAGCTGTGCCGGGTCACTAACACAGATCTAAGCCCCAGCTTAGATGGTTGCAGGGACCAGGGCTCTGACAAGCTGGGGTCTGCCTTGTCCTGAATCAGGAATTCCATAGCCTGGCTGTACAGTGGCACAATAGGTACAGAGCCAGACCAGGCCTCTGCCAGGACAGCGGAGGGTAAACAGCTCAGTAAACATGCAGAGGGTAGGACTCAGGCTTCCGGCTTCAAAGGACCAGCATTCACCTCTGGGCTTCACGGCCAACTGTACCCTTAGCCCAGGACACCAATTCCCCCCCAACCCCAAACAATCGCAGGCCTCAGCATCATAGGGTAAAATATACAGATATATTTATATTATCAAAAAGTATCCAAAGTGGGGAAGGGATAGCAGACAGCCACAGCCTGGGCCTCCCTGCCAGCACACCAAAAGAGGGCTGACATCCCCAAGTCCAGATTTCATCCTGTAGGAGCTTCCCATGAGCTCCCTTGTAGACCCCCTAAGGAGTTCTTTCAGAGCCTGTGGGAAAGGGGTAGGAGGGGGTAGGCTCCCTCCCAGCGGGGCCCCAAACCCTTAAGCCTCTCCTGCACAGCTCCTGACTTCTGTCCATCTTTCCAATCCCACGGATTCAAGGAGAATGACCCTGGGTAAGGAAGCCAGGTCAAGAGCACTGCATGCCTGGAGAACAAGAAAGGGCCCCTCCTGGGAAATGCCCACTGCCAGCCCATTCCTGTCCAGCCAAGGAGCCAGTGCTGCAGCCAGGATGTAGGATGTGGGTATGGCTTCCCCGTGTGTTCTGTTGGCTCACACCAAACACGCAGAGCATGAGGATGTCTGAATAGGAAAGCTTCCTGGCGGCAGTGATGGTGTCCCAGAGTCAGAACGACTCCTGTGCTCAGACATGACGGAGGAGCTGTAGGGGCACAGAAGCCCAGATCCTATAAGTGCTTTGTGATAGTAAAAGTTAGCAGCCACCCATGAACTGGAGGCAGAAAATAGCAGCTGGGGCTCCCAGGGCCAGACAGAGGGGCCCCCAAAAACCTAGGGAAGGGACTAGATGGGCTCTGAGAGAAATCAGTGACGTGCAGGCAGGCATCCAGCCAGGTCCCACCCAGCCTTGCCCACCAGGATCAGAGCCACTTACAGACAGGGGGTCAGCAGTGAAGGCTGCTACACTCCGGCGCATTTCATTCTCACTGCCGCGGAGAGGGATCAGCGACACACTGCCCATCCGGACCTCAGGCACTGCCCGGGACACTCGAGAGGGCTCTGAGGGCCACACCAGGCCATCATGCTAGGGAACAACCAGGAAAGGAATACTACGGTCTGGGCCACAACTCGGCTTGTAGGCTCAAGTTCCGCCCACCCCTTCTCAGAAAAGCCTCCAGCTAAGATCTGAGCTGACGCCTTCAGCTTTGATCGAGGCTGATATGAGAAGCAGCTGTTTGCAGATGACAATATCCCAGCACAACCCAGCCAACTAGATTACTCAAGATCCACATGCCTCCCTAAAAATGCAGCATCAAGAAACTGAAAGACACTGTGCCCCCTCTTCCCGGCAACCAAGAACTACAGAATCCACCATTTTCATCTAGGCCTTGACCACCATGAAACTCAGCGTTAAAAGAATATAGTAACATCAGGGACTCAGTGCAGAGCCCTGGTAGTTTTGACTTCCTTCTCCCTGCACAGTTCTGAACTCTGTTGAACATCTGATCTAATTCATCTGGTTCATGTCTAACCAGCCTCTGGCCTTGCTCTGGCTCCAGGGCAGTCACCCAGCCATGCAGCATGACTTCTCCATGGGTGTGGCCCTTCAGGCTCTGTTTCCTGTACACAGGTGCTGAGGGAGCTGAGAGACCCACCTCAGGCTCAATCCTACACTATACTCAAACTCACTTGAAACTCAAGGTCTAGCTCAGCCTCTTGACCATGGTCTCAAGGTTCTTACAGTCCTGCTCCTGACCTATTGCAGGGACAACTTCCTGCACTGCTGGCTCCTCCCTTGCAAGTGGTGACTGTGGTGGTTTGAATAAGAATGGCCCCATAGGGTCATATATTTGAATGCTTGCTCCCTACTTTGGTGGAACTGTTTGGGAAGGATTAGGAGATGTGGCCTTGTTGGAGGAGATGTGTCACTGGGGCGTGAGGCTTTTAAGTTACAAAGCTCTTGTCATTTCCAGTTAACCACCTGTCTCCCTTCCTACGTCCTTCCCTCTCTCCCTCCCTCTTTTTCTCCCTCCTTCCCTCCTTCCTGCTTATGGATGAGGTATAAAGTCTCAGCTACTCTTCCAGTCAGTACCATACCATGGCTGCCTGATTGCTGCCACGTTCCCTACCATGATGATCGTGGACTCTAACCCTGTGGAACCATGAACCCCAAATTAAATTCTGCCTTTCAAAAGCAGCCTTCCTTTTCTTTCTCACACTGAGGCCTTTGGATATGCTGTTCCCTCAGCCTGGAAGCCACTCTTCTCCAGGTGACTGCCCCTGTGACCAGAGACCTAGTTCCTATGACACCATTTCTCTGCTGCTGTCCCACTCTCCATGGTGGAGCCTCTTAAGAAGCCCCCTGCAGCTGGTACCTGTACAGAGAGGAAGGTGGCAAACCACTCTCGAAGTTCCATCTGAGTGTCACAGCAGAGGTACCTGCAGAAGGCATAGGTCGGGTTGCTGCTGAGGGCCTCAGAGAGCGAGCATTCTGCCTCCCTATCTCATAGGCGTAGAGCTGGGCAGAGAGGGGATTCCCAATCCTGCCCAACTCCCTCAGCCCAGGCCTTAGAATGGGGCCCTGGCTTACCATTGCTGCTTCTCATGCTTTTCTGTCTCATGCACCACCGTGAAGCCCCAGCTGCAGGAAGAGCCAGAGAATGTGTCACTTGGTATTTGCCAAGACTTGTGGGAAAGAGCCCAGAAGCCTGGACAGATCAGAGCCAAAGCTTCCCCCAGTGCAGCACACTAAGGCCAGTGTCCTTCTCTCTCCCCACCCGAACGCAGGGCCTGAGTTGGGGATGGTACGTGTGTCTAGCATGCCTGAGATACTGAGTTCTACCCTCACCACTGAAAAACAAAAAACCATCCAAACGTGATGTCTGCCCAAGCCCACTCAAGAACCAGAGTTAGCCTAGCACAGCCAGCAGATGAGAAAGTTAGAACACCAAGTCACGTGACTGCAGTGCCTAACAGCCACAGTGGCATGCATTGCTTTTGGACTTGCTAAAACATATACTCGGGGTAGGAGAGACTGCTTAATAAGAGTGCTTGCCCTGCAAGCATGAGAATCTGAGTTCAAATCCCTAGCAAACCATATAAAAAGCTGGGTATGACTGTGGGTGCCTGTAACCCCAGCATTGGAAAGCAGAGACAGGCAGGTAAACCCCAAAAAGCACACTGACCAGACATCCTAATTGAAACAGTGCACTTCAGTGATACCCTGTCTCAAGAGAATAAGGCAGAGAGTGATAGAAGAAGACATCCCAACTTCTCCTCTGGCTTCCACATGGGCACACACAGGTACATGCACCCGGACACTCACTGACATGCACCACACACACATAAAACACACCAACCCCCAAATTGTAATCTCACTCTCACTGTTACATGGACAGCCTGAGGAGACACTGAGCCCTGAGCCCTACTACAGAACCCCAAACTCAGGAGGCTCGGGGGTTCCCTGAAAAACTGTACTTCTATGGTATGTCTCGGTGATGCCACTGAACAAGAGGACCCTGATTACAAAACCACGACAAAACTATCTCCTATGAAGCCCTGAACCCCAGCTGTGCCTTCCTATCAGTTCTTAACCCCACAGGTCCCAGCCATAGGCCTGGTACCTCAGTCCTGACTTACCAAGTAGGTGGCCGCAGTTTCTTCTTTACACCCAGGTAGACTTTGAGGCTCTTGACAGGCCACTCCTTCTCAGGCCGGTGACTCTGGGGTGGGGGGATATCTCCATCAGTCAGGTGGGTACAGTCAGAGGCAGCTCTCCCGCTGGCATACAGCCCTCCCCCCTCCCCAACACCTAGGCATTCTGGAACAGGGCTCCTCCTCCAGGAAGCCTTCTCACCAGTGCCCTCCCTGCTCAATGTCCAGCCAAACGATGCTCTCTGCAGTAGCATCAGACAGTCAACCCTCAGTCCCCACAGATAACTCTCCAGTTAGGAGCTCCAGGGCAATGATTCTCAGCCCCTGCTGCCTGTCAGACTGGAGACTCAGCTTGCAGCATAGGCTTGACTGCAGCTGGAGGGAAGCCTCTGGATGCCATCCTCCACAACACATGGGGGCAGGCCCAGGCTGTCAGAGAGCCTTGAAGGTTGTCCATGAGGGTCTGTATTTGCCTCAGACACTCATCACTCTCCCTTCCCCTACCTGTGGAGGCTCCAGGGATGACTGTGTGAACAGAAGCTTGGGGACCAGCAATCACTAGCATCTTGGCCCCATCAGAAGGCCAATGACTCAAGCTGAAGCTTACGTGGATGTTCTGCATGATAGGCCAGAGGGAGAAATTCCCAGTGGTCTAAGACAGGAAGCAAGAGACCCATATACCAGGGCGGGGAGCCAGATTATTGACGTTTGCTTGGCCCTCACCTCTGCGTACATGGGTCTGGGCTTGGAGGGAGCAGGCTGGCTTGAAGGCAGAGGGGACACGAGCAACGACCCTCAAGGAAAAGACTGTTTGAAGGTTCTGGAAGCCATTTGCTTAGCTTCCTCCCCTTACCAGGCACCCCTGGACCCATCAGAGGTACCAGAGAGGATGGTAGGGGAGGAAGATGTACTTACAAATGCAACTGAGGCTCTAAAACTGAGCCATCCCCACCTTGGTCCCCATCATTGCTCCCAGCCACCCCAGGCATGGCTCCTCAGCAGGAGAAGAAAAGATAATCTGTGTCAGAATTAAAGGATCCTTCTGTGTTAACTCAGGGATGTGGGACAGAGAATGTGTAAAGATCTAAGGCCTGATGGATGAAGGAGCCCCAACTCCTCTATAGACAGCACCTCACCCAACAATCAAACATGTCCCAAACAGCCTGGACCACTGGCTGCAGTCTGGGGATCAAGACATGGGACATATGATAAAGCTAAGGCTGTGGGGAAACAGAGTGTGGGCAGAACACCAGGAGGAAGACCGAACACACACACACACACACACCAGGCAGAGGCACACACACACACACCAGGCAG